CCCCTTCACCACCAAACTCATCAAAGAGATGCTTACATTTGCTGATATCATTTCCTTAACTTCAACTTCCCACCAATTTCCAATTTTTTTCCACCAATTTCTCAACATATTCCCATGTGAATTTTTCTCTTACCAAAATATGAAACTATTTTGGTAAAGATCACTAACATTAATAATTTTATTGACACTAGATTTGATCTATATTTTGGTCCTCATCTTCATTCAGTAGCCACAATGAAGGCCAATCCCTTCTGTAAACACTTTTATCCTTTGGCTTCCATGATGCCATGCCCTTCTGGTTTTTTCTCTGCACTTGTGACTGCTACTTCTTCATCCTCTTTTTTTTTTTTTGGCTCATCCTCTTTTATGCTAGCTCTTAGTTCCTCAAAGTTCAGTTATAGGCTCACCAGTCAACTTCCTTGTCCATGTGTGTCTGCTAAGTCGCTTCAGTTGTGTCTGAATCTGTGGGTTATAGCCCACCAGGCTCCTCTGTCCATGGGGATTCTCCAAGCAACAATAGTGGGATGGGTTCCATGCCCTCGTTCAGGGGATCTTCCTGACCCAGGGATCAAACCCTCATCTCCGTATGTCCTGTATTGGCAGGCGGATTCTTTACCACTAGCACCACCTGGGAAGCTCCAGTCCACTTCCTTAGGCAATCTCAAACACATCCACAGCTTAAATACCAGATATCTTAAATGCACATCTATTTTGGACCTTTCTTTTGAGCTCTGGACCAAGACAGCTGTGTGATATATTTGATCACATGTCTCAGAGAGACACTTCTCACTCACATAACTCCAAACTGAACACATGGAAGTCTTTTTCAAGATGGTGATGTAAGAAGATCCTGAACCGACCTTCTGCCATGGACACACTGAATCTTTAACTGTATATGAAACAACTTCCTCTGGAAAAGAGCTAAAGACTGGTAGAGAAACCCCTTCACATAGGACAGACAAGAAGGAAATCACACTGAAGTAGGTAGGAGAGGCTGAGATGTAATCTCACTGTAAACCCCACCCCTGGGACAGTGACCCACAATCAAGAGGGAACTCAAAACACAGAGATTCTACCTGATAAATGAAGGGTTTAATCACACATCAGGGACTTTAACTTTTAAGACAAGCATCTAAGATATGAGGCCCCAAAACATCTAGCTTTGAAAATCAGTGGGGCACATGCTCACAAGACCCTCGAGGCTGTGGCAATGAGAAGCAGCTCCAAATGGGCTCCCACAGAGAGAGAGGCTCACCCAGCCCAGCGATCAGCACAGAAGCAACTCTTTGAGAAGCGCCCAGATTTTATGTGAAGGAGACTCATCTGCTAATTTTAAAGTGTTGCTCTGAGGAATAGGGCCCTGCCCGATACTCTCTGGGGCTGGAGGCTATTAGGTGCCATCTTCCTGCTCTCCCTTTGCCTTGCTAAACCTGGAAGTCACCATCTTTTTTTCTTTTTATTCCTTTTCTTTTAATTTTTTTCTTTTATTTCTTTTCTCTTTTTTTGGCAGGTGCAATCTTTGCACTCCCCCTCTGCCTCACTTCAGTCACTGGGAGCCATCTTCTACAAACATATAGTGCCCTAATCTTTACACCTGGTGACCCAGTTTTGGGGTGCAACCCAGGGAACACTCCTTGACCACCTGGATCTGAGGGTGGGTTGCTGTCTTTGCTTGTCTTGGAGCTTTGGCCTTAGAGTAAGGCTTCAGGTTTAGCATGCATCAGAGGCTACAGAGCTGCCCTCAAGGAACATAGGCTGGGGATACCATCTTTGTGCTGTCCCTCTAACTATAGCTCACCTGTATCTCTCAGAAAGGAGTTTATATGCTTTGCTAGAACCACAATTTTTCTGGACATTTCTAGATTACCTAGCTCTGGTGGACAGTGGGCTTGTACTGGCAGTCCCATAAGATTGCATCTATTTGCATTCTTTAAAAGTTGCTGCTTTTGAGGGTCTGGCTTCCAATAAGCCTTAATCTAAGTACTGACTAAGATTATCCTCTTGGGGACACTGACTGGTCTTGGCACACCTTCAACTACTGAGGTGTTTAAAATAAAATAGTCTGCTTGAACAACCACAAAAAGTTTTAAAGACAACCAAAAGCTAGGGCATGGTTGAATGGTAAGTTTCATCTGCTACACAAGGCCAACCCTTCAAGACTGGGAGAGGTGACTGCTCCACCTAATACACAGAAAGCAATACAGAGAGTCATGCAAAATGAAGAAACAGAGGGATATGTTCCAAATGAAAGATAAAACCTCAGGAAATAAACCTTAATGAAAAGGAGATAAGTAATTTACCTGATACAAAGTTCAAGAAATTGTCATAAAGATGCTTGCTGAACTCAGGAGAAGAATGGATGAACACAGTAAGAACTTCAACAAGCAAATGAAAACTAGAAGAAAGCATCAAACAGAAGTCACAGAGCTAAAGAAACATAATTTGTTGTTCAGTCACTAAGCCGTGTCTGACTCTTTGCAACCCCATGAGCTGCAGCATGCCAGGCTTCCCTATTCTTCACTGTCTCTCAGAGTTTGTCCAAACTTGTGTGCATTGAGTCAGTGATGCCATCCAACCATCTCATCATCTGTCGTCCCCTTTTCCTCTTGTCCTCTATCTTTCCTAGCATCAGGGTCTTTTCCAGTGAGTCAGTTCTTTGCATCAGGTGGCCAAAACATTGGAGCTTCAGCTTCAGCATCAGTCCTTCCAATGAATATTCAGGGTTTATTTCCTTTAGGATTGACTGGTTTAATCTCTTTGCTGTCCATGGGACTCTGAAAAATCTTCTCCAGCACCACAATTCGAAAGCATCAGTTCTTCAGCACTCAGCCTTCTTTATGGTTGAACCCTCACATCCATACATGACTACTGGAAATACCATAGCTTTGACCATACAGACCTTTGTTGGCAAAGTGATGTCTCTGCTTTTTAATATACTGTCTAGGTTGGTCATAGCTTTTCTTCCAAGGAGCAAGCGTGACAAAATGTGGTCAACTGGAGAAGGGACTGGCAAACTACTTTGGTTTCCTTGCCTTGAGAACCTCGAGGTATTCTTGCCTTGAGAACCCCATGAACAGTGTAAAAACAAACACTCAAAAATATACTAGAAGCATTCAACAGTAGACTAGATGAAATAAAGGAAGGGTCAATGAACATGAAGACAAGGAAGAGGACCCCACCCAATCCGAACAGCAGAAATTTAAAAAAAAATTAAAGAATGAAACAAAGTGAAAATAGCTTAAGGGACTTATGGAACAATAATAAGTGGACTAAACTTCAGATTACAGGAGTCCCAGAAGGAGAAGAGAGAGAGAAGGAAGAGGAAAACATTTTGAAGAAATAATAACTGAAAGCTCCCCTAACCTGGGGAAAGAAAATAGACACACAGTTCCAGGAAGTCTAGAGAGTTCCAAATTGAACACATGGTCTATCCACACAGCTTAGTTCATCTATGGTGTTTTTATCAGTAAGTGACAACAAAATTCATTCAAATGAGCAAGCCAGAAGCTTAGGAATTGTCCTTGTCATCCACCACTTAGTCATCCCCCATATTCAGATTATCACAAAGAGTTGTTCATGTTATGTTCTAAATATCCCTTGAGCCAATCAGTTTCTTTTCATCTTCTCTCTCTTACCACCATAGTCCAATCTACCCCCCAACTCTCACCTGGACCATTATAACAGCCTCTTAACTGGTCACCTTATAGCCTCCATCCAGTTTTATATTCTAGTGACAAACTCCTTGTTTAATTTAACCTAAATGTGACCATACCATTTCCCAGGTTAAAAGATATCAATTGCTGTAATGATTGGGACCAAAATTCTTATATATATAATGTGACCCCCACTCTCCCTTTCCAGCCTCATTTTTCATTACTCTCCCTCATGGTATGACTCTCAGACCTTTGATCACTTTGGCCTTCTTCCAACTCCCGGAATGTACCATCCTCACTCCTGCCTCAAGGCATTTGCAGAAAGTGTTCTTTCTCCCCCACTTTTTTCTTCTCCCAAAGTTGACCTAGTTAATTCCTACCCCTCCTACAGATTTCAACTCAGTTATCACTGTCTCAGAAGAACATTCCCAACACTAGAAGCCTGGGTCAGGACCATCTTTTAGACATTATTACAGCCTCCTGTTTCTTTCTTTCACACAACTTACCAAGATTCAGTATTCAATTCAATATTTGATCAATCTCTGTCTCTCCAACTACACTGTAAACTACAAAAGAACAGAAACAGCTTTGATTTTCCCATCACCATTGTAGCTGCAGCACCTAGCACAGCAGTTGGCACAAAGTAGGGGCTGGATAAACAAGTCAGTAGTGGTAAGAGATAAAGATATTAATTCTATGCCTCATATAATAAATATAAAAGGACTCAGGAGAAAAAAATCAATATGAGTAAAATTTCAAGTGACATATTTATGAACCTTTTGGGAAAGGATATATAACTCTATGCCATGACCTCTGCAGTGCTGTCAGATTTAATCTGCAAAGATAAACCTCCCAATAACATATTGAAAAGATTGAAACATATTGAAAACATAAAAGAAAACTTTTTTTAATGGAAAGAGAGAATAACAGTTTATATTACAATTTTATCGTTTCAACTGAATTGCCATTAGAGTTCTATGTAAAATAGATCTACCTCCCCTCCTGTACTATGCAAAACCTAAAATAATATATTTTTTTAAGTAATGAATCACTGAATAAAAAGTATGTACAATCAGATTGATGGAGAGAGTAGAAAGTAGAAAAGCAGGTCCATATCATGTGCAAGAGACAACTATTCCAGGAAAACAAACAATTTCAGAGATACTCTGAGCCAGGAGAACAAATGCAGTTAAGGGCCACATAGTAAATGTTATAGGCAGGGTTGGGAATGGAGTGAGACTGGAGAAGTGGTGAGTGAGAAAAACTTAAGACTAGCGTGCTCAGGGTCATGCAGGTGCAGGGTCAGTCTTAAAAAGGGGCACCACCTTAATACTGCACCCAAGGCACCTCTCTCCCCTCACCTTAGTCCCAGCCCTGGTTATATGCTTTGTGAGTCATGTATCTCTGTAACAGTTTCTCATGTCTGCCATTGCCGAGTGAAAGCAGCCACAGGTGTGTGAATAAATGAACATGATTATGTTCCAATAAAACTTTATTGATAAGAACTGGTGACAGGGTGGGTTTGGCCTGAGGACCAGTTTTCCAACCCCTGCCCCAAGCTCAGGACCCACAAATACAAGGAACACAATTGGGCAAGAATACAAAAGATCGCAATAAAAAGAGCTGGAGCGGGGAAAACCTTTCAGCATGGTTTTCCCCACTCCACAGTGAGCAGTGGGCAGCAGTGGCATTTCTCTTGTCCTATAGAATTCATGACATGTTCCAAACCGTCTTTTTTGTTTTCTCTTACATTTGAATGCAGTCACATTTGGCTGACTGTAGAATTCTGGTTTAAAAATAATTTTCCCTCAGAACTAGAGACACCATTCTGTTGTCTTTCAGTATCTTATATTGATGCTGGAAATTTTTTTCTCTGATATTCAGCTTCATATTTTTTTTTGTCAGTAACATCTCTTTTTTCTCTGGGAACATCTTGGATTTTCTCTTGATCTTCATACAGAAAAGAAAAATCCACAAGAAAGAATAGTGTATCGGAAGCATAAATATCAGGGTAGGATCCAATAATGTGAATGTATTAAGTTTCTTTGTCAATAAACAGGGGGAAAAAACTGCATTTAAAAAAAAAATCTAGTCATATGCTTTCTCATAAGAGACATAGCTGAAACAAAATGATCCCAAATAACTGAAATGAAGTTTTCAGAAAAAAAGATATCCAAGGTATGCTAATAAGAAGGAAGCCAATATGGTGATATTAATTTCACATGCATAAATTTCCAGATGAAAAATTTTTAATTTGGAAGAAGAGGAATATTTTATATTGATGAAAATAACAAGCTACAAAAACAAAACAGTCAGAAATTTCACCTGACATAACTTTGAAAGCATAAAATAAAAATATTAATACTAAATGAAATTGACAAATGCTTAAACACAGTGGAAAACTTATTAAATGTAGGAATTGATAGATCAAGTAAACAGAATTTAAGAAAGAATGAAAAGAATTTGAATAATATAATAATCAAAAATACATATAACTCCCCTCAAAAAAAAAGCATGCACCTTATTTTCAAACACCAATGAAATAGCTACAAAAATTGAACATAAACCCAGTCAAAGAGAAATATCTCAAATCTAAGAAACTCTTGAAAACAGAAATCATAATCTTGATTCTGATATCAGTGATCTAAAATATTAGATCACAAAAACACATATAGTGTTTCCTCTTAAATAGAAAATGAAAACTAAAATTACAAACTACTTTTAAATAAACTAAAAGTGAGGGAAAAAAATATCTAAAACTTAAGTAATATACCCAAAGTAATACTCAGGGTACAATGTATTAACTTAAAGAATATATTAAAAAATGGGAATGATTAAAAATAAATTAATTCAAAACACTAGAAAAAGGAAAAATAACTCAAAGAAAGCAAAAGCAAGTAATTAATAAAGCACTAATGTAAAAAATAAGCTTTGTGGTTTTTTTCCAGGAGTTGGTGATGGACGGGGAAACAGGGTGTGCTGTAGTCCATGGGGTTGCAAAGAATCAGACACAAATGAGCAACTGAACTGAACTGACTAAATGTAAAAAATATTAAACAATACAACTTGTTCAATATAATTACAAGTTATTTCCTTGAAAGAGCAATGAAACAGATCTTTGTCAAGTATGATAACAGAAGAGAAACCCCAAATAAACCATGTAAGGAAGAGAGGCAACTTTAGAGATGGAGGAGATTTGTTTTAACTTTAAGAGGTTACTAAAGACCAATATCTCTGTGAATGAATGATCTTGTTGGAAAATAAACATAACAAAACTTTTAAAGGGAGACGGAGGGAAAAAACTACATAAGTGAAAAGACACAAAAGAAAGTTAGAAGCTATCTAAAAATTTATGCAAAAGAAAAAGTGGGGGGAAGATGACACTAGTAGCCTAGCATTAAATTTCCCCAAATTCCTCCCAAGAAACAAAGCAACTAGGATAGAGTTGAAATTTGCAGGAGGAGTAGGAATTAACTAGGTAAACTTGGGGAGGAGAAAAAGGCATCTGGGAAAGAGGAATAATTTATACAAATACCCTGAGACAGAACAGATCATGGTATATACTGGGAACTGACAGAAAGCCAAAATGCCCTGTGTGATCCCCATCTCTTGAATGTGGGTGGGAACTAGGCTTGCTTCCAACTAATAGAACATGGCAAAGGTAACAAAGATGGACCTGATTACATGTGCTGATTTCAATCCATAAGATTACTGAACAAACGATCTTGGTGTAGGAAAGTCTCTCTCCCTGCTGACTTTGAAGAAGCAAGCAGCCATATTGGGAATAAAGGTATAAGGGACAGGAAATAAGGGTAGCTTCCAGCCAATAGCCAATAAAAAACTGAAATCCTAGAGATCAAACTGGGGGTCACCAGAGGGGAGGGCTGTGGGGGTGGTGAGAAAGGGGAATTGGATTAAGAGGTACAAACTTCCTGTTATAAATAGTTTAAAAGTTATAAAGCCATTGGAATATTATGTACAGCATAACAAATACCAACAATAATATTGGTAATACCTCTGTATAGTGACAGATGGTAAGTAGGCTTATCGTGGTCATCTCATAATGTGTAAACAATACTGAATCATATGTTGCACACCTGAAAGTAACACAATAAGTCAGTTATACTTCAATAGAAAAAAAAAACTTGGCATTAAAAACATGATTTTTTATAGTTTGAATTAATTGAACTCACTACTTTGGATATCTTTTTTTTTCTCTTTGCAACAATATAAGGTAAAGAGGAGAATTAGAATTAACACAACCACTTTTTGTATCAATGTAGACAGCTTAAGGAGCTAATCTGGGTGTCAAAACTGTTTTCCCCCAAAGAATTATATGATTTTCATGACAAGTATACTCCATAATTGTAAAATATCTTCTTAAAATTCTGTTGTTTGGACCTAATTTCACCATTTGGGCTTCCCTGGTGGCTCAGATAATAAAGAATCTGCCTGCAATGCAGGAGACCTGGGTTCAATCCCTGGGTCAGGAAGATCCCCTGGAGAAGGGAATGGCAACCCACCCCAGTGTGGGTTTTGATCTCTTATCAATTCATATGGGAATATTTATACATGAAATCATGTAGCATCTAGAATTTACTTTGAAATAATATTTAAAATTCAAAGATACTTCATTTTTTGCCCTCTGCTTTATTGAAATTCACAAAACCTTTTACAAATCAAAGATTTGTGACAACCCTGTATTGTTAAATGATTAGCATTTTTAGCAATTGAGTATTTTTAAATTAAGGTACATACTTTTTTTTAGGTAGAATGCTACTGCACACTTGAGGAACTACTATATAGTGTGAATGTAACTTTTATATGTATTGGAAAACCAAAATATTCATGGGACTTACCTTATTGCTATGGTCTGGAATGGGACCTACAGTATCCCTGAAGTATGCTATACTAGATTTAACAAAATTGACCCTCAGTTGACTGTTAAAGCTGGGTGATGGGAGCATCAAGTTTCATTATGTCATCCTCTCTACTTTTTTATGTTTGAATTTCCCCATAATACAAAAGTTATTAAAAAAAAAAACAACTATGAAAATGCACCAGGCCAAGTCCTTTCACAGAAGAATTCTAACAGGAAACTATTATGTTTTATAAACTTTCTAGAACATCAGAAAAGATGCAAAGCTTCTGAACTCCTTCTTGGAGACAAGTATAACTCTAATATAAGAAGCAGACAAGGATATAGTATTAAAAAAGAAAACTCTAGGCTAATATCATTCCTGAACATACAGGTGAAAGTCATGTATAGTGAAAGAATATACACATATAAGAGTAGCAAGTTGAATATGACAATGTATGAAAGAATAATGCAGCATGAACATGGCAGGGTTTATTCTAGGTAAACATTGTCAGTTCAACATTGAGAAATCACTCTGTGTAATTTATAGCACTGAAAGATTAAAGGAGAAAATAGTATTCTAGAAAAGTCAATGCTCATTCATGTTAAAAAAAAAAAGTTTATAGCAAACCAGAACCTAAGAATCAACTTACACTTTTTACCCTAGATACTTCTGAATTCTATAAGTGTTTAAGATAACTTATATGTTCAATACTTGTTTAATTTTAAAAAGTTTGTCATGTACAAAAGTTACATGATCAAATTTATGACATAATTTTCCAGCTCTCCACTTTTATATTTCTAGCAACACAGCCTTTGTTGCAAGACCAAAAATAATATGAACTTCAATTAGATAAATAAGTATGAACTGTATAAATTTATTTCCTATTTTATTTTTAACACACATCCATATACTAATTAGAATTCAGGGACCATGGGACATGTACGCCCTCCAGATTATGTAAATCATCATATTTCAGTAGATTCACACATAGCATTAATTAGTTTGAATGATTTCATTGAGAAGAACCTTGTGAATTCTTAGTAGTAAATGTAATGGTTCTGGCACACAGCTTTAAAGTCATTCTTAAAACTTAAATGTTGTTGGCTCATGAAGGACTACACTTCAATAACCAGAATGTGGAAGTAGAATATGGAAGAAGTCATCTTCTGAAAGTGAAACTAGAATGTTATTATAACATAATAGCTGGAGAGACGACTTACAAATGTGCTGTTGGTAGAACTGGAAAATGACCAATCTCTGTGTCAGGAAGACATGGTTCAAATGCCACTAATGTAAAATGAAACTGTCCTTTCTCTCCAGCAGCATTGTAGCTTGCCTGGCACATTGAAATGGTACCTGTGGAATTTGTCACTGTTTTCTGATTCTCTCCAAGAGGAGACTGTGTTGATTCTAGAAAACCAAATGCTCTAATCTGGATAAAAAATATCCCCAGAATAAAGAAAGCTACTGTCCCAGACTTAGATGACTTAATGGAGACATCTTTTGAGAGCTTCTAATGCTCTGTGTCCTATTCTGTATGAATATTATAAATATGTAAGCTGGTATTCAGAGGGAACTTACTGTACAGATAACAGGATCCCATTGTCAAGTCAGGTTTATTTCATATGACACTTTATTAAATTTTCCCTTGAGGAGACCAATCTATTGTTTGTCAGTTTAGTTAGTGTTTCACAGTCCTCGGTAGGCTGATCATCTTTGAGCAGCCTGATGGTACTATTGCTGGACCAGCTCTAGTGTTAACACCATACCTGTAAGCTATTTTTCACATGAAGAAAATAGTAGCTCCTCTTTTGCGTCTCTTTTCATTTGCAATAGATATATATTCTCAAAATAAAAAAATCAATAATAAATATCCAGCTTACTAATATTTATTTAAGCCTTTGACTGTGTGGGTCACAACAAACTGGAAAATTCTGAAAGAGATGAGAATACCAGACCACCTGACCTGCCTCTTGAGAAATCTGTATGCAGGTCAGGAAGCAACAGTTAGAACTGGACATGGAACAACAGACTGGTTCCAAATAGGAAAAGNAAGAGCTGACTCCTTGGAAAAGACCCTGATGCTGGGGAAGATTGAAGGCAGGAGAAGAAGGGGATGACAGAGGGTGAGATGGTTGGGTGGCATCACCGACTCAATGGACATGAGTTGGAGTCAACTCCAGGAGTTGGTAATGGACAGACAGGCCTGGCGTGCTACAGTCCATAGGGTTGCAAAGAGTCAGAGACACCTGAGCAACTGAGCTAAACTGAACTGAATATTTATTTAGTGTTTGACCATTTTCTCAAAATGCATTTTATTTCTTCATGTATCCCAATAGATGGACAACACCAAAGGGAAAAAATTATAAAAGACAACTTTGTAAGAATGGAAAGAAATTGTTCCATTTGAAAAAATGATTTGTCTATTCCCAATGGTTTGATTTGTGTAGACTTAATCCCAAGTTATCGTGTGACTGTAGAAACAGAGGATCAGAACTTACTCTGAGGACAGGAAACCAGACAGGATGAAGCTAGGGAAACTGAAACCTATGAAGACTGGTCTAAAACAAGTGGCCAGAAAATCTCAGAAACAAAACTGAAGAGTGGATAGCAACACAATTTTTTTCTAATTATGGAAGCATTTGGGGACCAGGTATCCTTACAGGCATCAGGACACACGAAGGAGAAATCCAGATATTAGTCAAAACTCAGTATCTAGAAGGTCATCTCATAATTGTCTGTCTGTGGTAGTCGCTCGGTTGTGTCCAACTCTTTGCAACCCTATGGACTATAGCCCACCAGACTCCTCTGTCCATGGGATTTTCCAGGCAAGAATACTGGAATGGGTTGCCATTCCCTTCTCTAGGGGATCTTTCTGACCCAGGGATCAGACCCAGGGATCAAACCCAGGTCTCCTGCATTGCAGACAGATTCTTTACCATCTGAGCTACCAGGGAAGCCCCAAAATGGTCTAATCTCAAGCTTAAACTGCCCAAATTGAACTCATTAATTTGATACCCCAAAAGTCTTTTTCTGAAGTTGTCCACAATTCATTAATGGAGCCACCCAGCAGCGAAAGCCAAAGTCTAAGAAAATCATCACTGATGCTACTCTTCTCCATACAACCCTTAAGAGTCTCCTCCTCTCTTGCACACACATCTTATGTCTGGACAAGGCCTGTTAACTCTATTTCCAGATATCTCTGATCTGCCCATTTCTTTCTCTTTCCACTCCTGTCCCCTTAGTCCAAGCTATTAATACTCCCACCTCTCACATAGACCACAATGGTTGTTTAGCTGGGTTCCCCACTTACTCTCTTACCCCTTACAGTCGATTCTGCATATAGCAACCATTCAATGCCAAGTTGATGAGCAGAGTTGAAACAGCCAATTGAGACCATAGGATCAAAGCCTCATGTCTAGGATGACAAAGCAAATAGACAGAGCATGAATTCCTGAACCATTACCTAATTTCAGCACTGCTTATTCTCAGAGAAAGAAGTAAACTTAAATATTATTTAGGCCATTGTATTTTTGTTTGCTTGCTTCTTATTACAGTCAACTAAGCGGACAGGATCCTAATACAGATTTTATGTGAAATAACATACTTGAACATAGGACACGGCTCCAAGAGAGGTAATGTCTGCCCAGTGTTTCTCTGTCTTCCCTGGTGGCCCCTGTACATGGGGTACCATCGGCCCCAGGGGGCTGTGGCCTGTGTATCCTGGGTTCTAAGAACAGCAGGTGAGATGCTAGAAGAGCAAGGCCAAAGTACAGTTTCTGAAGGGACATGAAATGTACTTCAGAAGGAGGGGAAAATAGTTCTTGGGTTTCCCCCTAACATTGTTTTCCCCTAGTAGGCAGAGATTCTATCATATAATTCTCTGTAAGCCCAAAAAGATCTTGAGTATAGTTATGAAATGTTAAATGTATGCTCAAGAAATGTTAATGAAATTGAATAAAAGCCTTTCTAAGATGCAGACAAACCTTTGAGCCCAGGCTGAGCTTGGCCTCCCTCTTTGTCAGTGAAAATTATGAGTATTTAACTCAATTATAATTTCTATATTGAATATTAAACCTCTAGGCAAAAGGTATTGCATCTTTCTATATAGCAGCTAGAATAGTACTACAAGAAATGCAATGCTTAATAAATGTTTTGGAATGATAGTGCTAACAATTTATTGAGCAGAAGCTCTTAATTTTTTAAAGTCTGGGCATTAATGCATTAAAAACCATGTAGATGGTACCTGAAAGCTATTATTGACAATATAAGAGCCAATACTGTGTTAGACTCAGAATAATGATACACTAAGCATGTAAGGTAAGTGTATAGTTGGAGAGTAGATGAATAAATGTAGATGAGAGAAGTCATTGTATAGTGATTACTCCTCATAGATATTAATGATCACTATGGAAAAAAGTATAAACATTTTTGCTGTGCTTTGATCAGTTTTGTCCCACTCTTTCCAACCCCATGGACTGTAGCCTCTGCCAGGCTCCTCTGTCCATGGAGTTCTCCAGGCAAGAATACTAGAGAGGGTTGCCATTTCCTACTCCAGGGATCTTCCTGTATCACGGATCAAAACTTCATCTTTTAACCTCCTACATTAGCAGATGGATTCTTTACCACTGTGCCACTTTTGCTACCCCACAATTTTTATGAGACTGCAAAGGAAGTAAACACGGCCTTTTTTTTTTTTTGCTCTAAAGTAGCAAAGTTGAGGATGGTGGGGGAAGGATGGGAGGAAGGGTAGCAGAAACAGACTTTAACCTGCATATCCTGTTCAGGTTGATTCTGAGTACCAGGAAGCCAACTAGGAATTCTTTTTACTTAAGATTGCCTCGAGCTATTGGAAGAAATTATGAAGAGAACTTTGGGAATGATAGAACTACCTGGAATGGTGACATTATTACCACCTAGTAAGAAAAGAGACAGAAGGGGCCAAGTCTAGGTACAAATTCCTTCATGTAGACAGAGAATAAATTCTCTCTGATACAGGAGCCCCCTGAGGTACCTGATACGAAGATTATCATCTTCATCCATGCAACGGTCATTTTAAAAAAAATTATTGGCATGTAGTTGATATACGATGTTGTGTTAGGTTCAGGTGTACAACAGAGTGATTCAGTTATACATATAAATAAATTTATCCATCCTGTTTTCAGATTCTTTTCTCATACAGGTTATCACAGAATATTGAGTAGGGTTTCCTGTGCTATGGAGTAGGTCCTTGTTGCCTATCTGTCTTATATATAGTAGTGTGTGTATGTTAACCCCAAGCTCCTGACTTATTCCTCCCCCACTACATTTCCCCTTTGGTAACCATACATTTGTTTTTGATACCTGTAAATCTGTTTATGTTTTGTAAATAAGTTCATTTGTACCATTTTTAAAATTAGATTTCACATATGAGTGACATCATATGCTATTTGTCTTTCTCTTTCTGACTCATTTCACTTAGGCTGATAATCTCCAGGTCCATCCATTTGCTACAAATGGCATTATTTCTTTCTTATTATGGCTGAGTAATATACCATTGTATATGTGTACCACATCTTCTTCAGTCATCTGTTGATGGACAGTTAGGTTCCTTCCCTTTCTGGGCTATTGTGATCAGTGCTACAATGAACATTGGGGTGCACTTATCTTTTCTATTATGGTTTTCTCCAGAAAGCAACACTTAGAACTGGACATGGAACAACAGACTGGTTCCAAATAGAAAAAGGAGTACGTCAAGGCTGTATATTGTCACCTTGCTTATTTAACTTATATGCAGAGTACATCATGAGAAACACTGGGCTGGAGGAAGCACAAGCTGGAATCAAGATTGCCAGGAGAAATATCAATAACCTCAGATATGCAGATGACACCACCCTTATGGCAGAAAGTGAAGAACTAGAGAGCCTCTTGATGAAAGTGAAAGAGGAGAGTGAAAATGTTGGCTTAAAGCTCAACATTCAGAAAACTAAGATCATGGCATCTGGTCCATGGCATCTGGTTCATGGCAAATAGATGGGGAAACAGTGGCAGGCTTTATTTTTCTGGGCTCCAAAATCACTGCAGATGGTGACTGCAGCCATGAAATTAAAAGACGCTTACTCCTTGGAAGGAAAGTTATGACCAACCTAGACAGCATATTAAAAAACAGAGATATTACTTTGCCAACAAAGGTCTGTCTAGTCAAGGTTATGGTTTTTCCAGTAGTCATGTATGGATGTGAGAATTGGACTAAAAAGAAAGCTGAGCGCCAAAGAATTGATGCTTTTGAACTATGGTGTTGGAGAAGATTCTTGAGAGTCCCTTGGACTGCAAGGAGATCCAACCAGTCCATCCTAAAAGAGATCAGTCATGGGTGTTCATTGGAAGGACTGATGTTGAAGCTGAAACTCCAATACTTTGGCCACCTGATGCAAAGAACTGACTCATTTGAAAAGACCCTGATGCTGGGAAAGATTGAAGGAGGGAGGAGAAGGGGATGACAGAGGATGAGATGGTTGGATGGCATCACCGACTCAATGGACATGATTTTGAGTCAACTCTGGCAGTTGGCGATGGACAGGGAGGCCTGGTGTGCTGCAGTCCATGGGGTTTCAAAGAGTCAGACACAACTGAGTGACTGAACTGAACTGAACTTTCTCCAGATATATGTCAGGAGTGGGATTGCTGGATCATATGATAGTTCCATTTCTAACCCCCTTCTTCCTTGATGGTGGATATTTCTTCCTATTCCAGAAACTGAATATGCCAACATTCTTACCTTTTTATTCTCCCTTGCAGCTAGAGCCTGGGCATATATACAACTCTAGCCAGTAGGGCCCACAGAAAGTCTTTTGGAGGTTTCTGGGAAAGGTTTTGCCATCTAATAAGAGAGAGGTGCACACGAAACAAAACACCATTTTCTCTTCCTCCTTCTGCATGTTTTTGTGTGAGGTCATGATACTTAGCGCTGTGGCAATCATCACGTGACTTGTGTGACACAAACACTTCTTTAATAACATTGAGGATAATGAGGAGGGGGAGAAAGAGCTAGGAATCTCTATATTTTTGAGTTACTGAACCCACTCTAAAAAAATCTACCCCAAGACTTCCTGTTGCAGATGAAATTAAACCCCTATTTCTTAAGCCACCTTTAAAGCAAATCCTGCAACTGAAAGTACCCTATCTGAGAAAGGTGAGGGGAGGTCTTTTTATTAAAACAGGATGGTACCATGCCAGCATCCTCTAGGTAAACCCTTGGAAAGTTGTTCCAAGTACTGAGATGAGAGGATGATGAAAGCCAGAATTCTTTTTAAAGGCATATTACAAGTTGTAATCATTAGTGGACCATAGCCTAACCCCATACTACCGTTTATGGAAGTACAAAGCCATCACATGAGCACAACTGCAGGACATGTGGCTGCAGAAAGGTAACAAACAGGCTGGAAGAGGCTACTATTCATCAGAGCAAAGAGTAGAGAGAATGACCCCCAAATCCAAGAGTGATCAGCGCATTGAAATGAGTCTCTTAGAAACCTTGGGAAGGGAGGAGCTGGGATAATTTGGAAGGGAAAGGGAAGACTGTAAATGTTAAACCATTTTGTTTGTTTCTTAAGTTGTTTCTTATCCCACAAGGTTAGTGTGACTTGGAAAAACAAAAGGAAATCTAGAACAATGACTTCTTACACAAGTGTCCATTGTATCATAGGTGTAGCTCAGCAGAACAGAACATTTAAAAGTCTTGGCAAGAGCCATAGGCTTTAATTAAATTGGATTACTTTAATTAAATAACATAGAGACATGCTGCTCAGTTTTCAGGGTAGCACCCCTGTTCATTCTTACTGAGTTTAGATGAATTTGAAGAGCAGATCAATTTCCTTTTATGCAACTGAGAGTATGAAATATCTGTGGGGAATTCAGTCCATGTACCCAATTCAGAATTTTAGGTTTTAGAGCAGATCACAATGAAAAATGGGGACAGACTCTTTGGGACTGATATTTGGCCCCAGAGTTAACATCCTGGACAGTTCATTTAGCCCTTTAGTTCAAAGAGCCTCTTGACGAAAGTGAGAGTGAAAAAAACTGTCTTAAAATTCAACATTAAAAAAACTAAAATCATGGCATCCAGTCCGATCACTTCATGGCAAATAGATGGGGAAACAATGGAAACAGTGACAGACTTTATTTTCTTGGGCTCCAAAGTACTGCAGATGATGACTGCAGCCATGAGATTAAAAGACATTTGCTGCCTCAAAGAAAAGGTATGACAAACCTAGACAGCGTATTAAAAAGCAGAGACATTACTTTGTCAATAAAGGCCCATCTAGTCAAAGCTATGGTTTTTCCAGTAATCATGTATGGATGTGAGAGTTGGACCCTAAAGAAAGCTGAGCACCAAAGAATTGATGCTTTTGAACTGTGGTGTTGAAGAAAACTCT